CAAACCCCTATACACTAGATTTTGTAAAGCTTAAAGCCTTAAAGCTTCAACCCTCGAAACGGTAAACCTAGATTCTGTAAAGCCTTAAAACCTTAAACCCTAAACACTAGAAACTGTGAAGCCTCAACGCCTTCAAGCTTCAAACCCCCAAATCGGTAAACCCTAGATTCCGTAAAGCCTTGAAACCTTAAAACCTAAGCACTAGAAACTGTGAGGCCTTAAAGCCTTAAAGCTTCAATCCCCCAAAAGGGTAAACCCTAGATTCCGTAAAGCCTTAAAACCTTGAACCCTAAGCCCGCGGCAGAACCCAAATTTCTTCATCTCAGAGCCGCGGGGCCAAGATCGGGAGCACCCAACAAGCACCGCAACATGAAGTCTCACAGGAAATACCGTATCCCTACGAAGGAGATAAGACTTTAATGTGCTTTGGGTGCTGTTTGGACACCTGAAATGCCCTAAACCCTGAAACCTGAGCCACTCATTTCTGGTTTTTGCTTGGACCCTAAAGAACCTCAATCTTTCGGGTTCTTGTGATAAACGGTAACAAGGATTTTTTTTGTGGGGCCCTGCAAACAAGTAGGTTCTCGAGGAGGAGGTACTTTTTTGGTCCCTCCGCGACAAGAAATTGACAAGAAATTGCCTCCCAGTGCGATCCCGGTCACAGGCCCGGAGTCCTGACGCTGCTGTACACCTCAGGTTAGGGTGTTAGGGGAGTTTAGGGTTCAGGGTTTAGAGTCTAAACCCTAAACCCTAAACCCTAAAACCCTAAACCCGAAAACCGTTTTGGGGTTTTGGGGCTTAGGGCCAATTTGGGAGTTCGGGGCTCTCGGCTCCGGGTTTGAGGGGTTTCAACTCAGAGCTCCTTCAGTGCTGTCCGGGCTCCAGAAATTATGAACTTGGGGTTCGGGAAGGTTTAGGGTTTGGGGAATATATATATATATATATATATATATGTATATATGTATATCATCCACAAGGACAAGTACTTTAAGGCTTCGGGTCCTCAAGGCATGTGAGGGTGGGAATTTGCCGTAATTATGTTCGCAAGATCACCCTGGTCCAGAGCGTCAAACCACCTACTCGAAACGAACAGCCTGCTATCCGACCCAACACAAACCAGCAAGCCAGGCCCCTTCCTTAGAGTCGAAAACCCCAAAGCCGTACCGAACAGCCTGAATGCACCCATTTTCTGTTGATGATATAAACCCTGCATTACCACTAAGGACCCTAAACTATGGGAACCATGGTATCTTCCTTATTACAGCCTGAATGCACCCACATAGTGCGCCACATCAGGGTGTTGACCCGCTGCGACCAGGACCCTCCGGGAGTTCAGCCAGATAATCAACCTGAATGCAATGGTGTAGGGACTAGGGTTTAGGGCTTAAGGCTTAGGGTTTAGGGGTTTGGGTTTAGGGTTTGGGGTTTAGGGGTCAGGGTTCCGGGTTTGGGCTTAGGCTTTAGGGTTCGGACCTCCAGGGGGTAGGGGCGCAACAGGGCTTTGGGCTTCGGACTTCGGCTGTATGGGGTGGGACTTTGGGTTCCCTTTCCACGGGTATTGAGGGTTGAGAGTTTATGTTTCAAAAAGTAGAATGGCGTAATGGGCTCCTCAGAGTTGGGGGGTTTGGGGATTCGAGGAATTATCGGGGGCTGCACCGAGTTCATTAAAATTCCCGGATGCCGGCATGCACACATACAAGACAGTGAGCACATGATACCTTGTGCTAAGCCCGCTAAGCTATGCTCCACCAGTACCTAGAAACACGGTTCGGAATACTGTTGCTACAGCTGTGGTTCCGGCTGCATGCCCTGCCCTCTGCTCACGGTGGCGCTTTGATCTGACGGGCTTGTAGTGGTTCTCAAAGTGTATCCTTGTCATGATGATCTGTTTCGGAGTCGGGACATTGTTTTAACTTTGGTCTTTTCCAGGCATTCAACGAACACGAGCACACACGCACAAAAAAACAAAGCAACAAAAGAAGGCTCTTAGGGCCCACAATTGCGTTAAGCCCAGCTCCTGCCCTCAAAGACCACACTACACACGGTCGTACGTCGATCCTGCAAGCTGAGCCAGATGACAGCTGTGAATTTGCTGATAAGCACTCTAAGGGTTTAGGGTTTAGGGTCCCTAAACCCTAAACCCTGACTCTAGCTCTCAATCATGTCAGGTGTATCATATAATGAATAAGCTACTAGTAGTTAGCCTGTCAACGCAGTATACTGCGCATATAATATCGGCATCAAACCCTAAGGCTCCATGTGCCTACACACACACACAGATTAATATATATATATATATATACTTAGGCTTTAAAGCGGTTCCTACATAGGCACATTAAGGCCTAAGTGTATACTGCATGGGCACATGGACGCTTAGGGGAAAACTCGAAAGACTAGCAGCAGAGGCAGGTCGACAACGCACAGCAGGATCAAGAACGCTCGCTGCAGCGTGATGCCAACGGCCTGCAAACCGTGGGCTTTAGGATTTCTGAGGGTTTAAGGGTTTATGGGCTATGATGCCCAGATGCGTTTTAAGCGGACCCTGACGAATTGCACAACAACTGAAACGAAAAGGAAAAGTCGAACTGAAAAGGCATGCAAAAGCAAACAATACCCAAGGCCTGTTGGTGCTAGTTACCCAAACCCTATCGTTCTTGCTACCTGCGCTACCCAAAATCTCTACATACAGCTGAAGCTCAATCCCACAACCGAACACTAATCTTTGAACCCGAAATCCTGAGCCCAAAGCGACACCGAAAAGTTGGGAAGTTACTCGCTGCATTTGGGAGTTTCCCAAAATAGGGGACCCTACTATAGTACCCTCAATAGTAGGATCCTTATTATAAGGACCCCCCAAATAATGTACCCCAAATTTTCGGAAACTCCCATTTGTTTAAGAGAGGGCCTTGAAATTGCCGGCACCCCAGTCTTGTGAGCTTAGCGTTGAGATGCCAGCGGACAAGCCCCAAAGAGCGGAGAAACCTTGCTTCGGGTCTAAGCTTCAGTGTTTAGGGTTTAGGGTTTAAGGTTTAGGGTTTAGGGCTTCGGGTTTCCTACCTGGAGGCTCATAACCTACGCCTGTTTTAGGGCGCCTACTTTTTGAGAGGAATCCTCACCATAAACTAGGTATCCAAAAAAGAGGTGTAGGGTATGAGCCTCTATGTAAGGTTCAGTGTTTAGGGTTTCGGGTCCGGGGCTTTTGGGTTTACGGGTTTAAGAGAAAGCTTTGCATCCTTGAGGTTTCAGATGGTTTAAGGGTTCGAGCTTTGAGTCTGCACAGTCTTGCAATTTAGGGCTTGAGGGTTTAAGGAATTCGGGCTTACAGGCTTGACATGTACCTAGTGTCACCAGAACTCATCGAGAAGAACGTACGGAGATTCAATAATGTGCCCTAGCTACTCGAGGTGGTTCCGGGAAAAGGGTGGTTTGTGGATGAGAACCCTTCTATTGGACTTATGGCTCACAAAGTCATGCTGTGCATGTTCGGTACGTTTTTGCTTGCTAGAACACCGTCTGGATATCCTGAACTTGAAATGCAGTAACATGAGACCGTTGCGACAGAGGGTGGTCGCCGGTACTATGATCGCGAGCCACCAACCAAATATGCTGTCATGCTACACACACTCTGTAGGGACTACCAGCTAACGATAGGGTTCGAGGCTCGTGGTGTACAGGTTTAGGGGTTGCTCTTCCGTCACTAAGACCATAGCCTCACTGCTGCCTTCAAACCAAGGAGCCGGTGATGTTGGTGATGACGTTGCCAAGGCCGATTGCCGCCAGGGCGGCTTCGTCTAGGTGCTGCCCAATCACCGCCGCCGAAACCAAACCGACTAACCTGGCTTGGGTTTTATAGGTTTGGCAAGCACTGAGCGAGTCAAGAAACAGCCGCAAGCAGGGCTATCTGCAGCTTTGGCTACGCCACTTGCACTGTACCTACACTGTCTTAGCCTTCGCTTACGAAGTCCCATGATCCTTTAGGTACACTTCCTAGAGGATGAACTAGGCGACTCAGTAGGTAGCAATTGAACACACTTATCTGCACTATACCCAGTTATAACCGGCGTTACAGCAACCTGCTACTGCCCCCCCTTATCCGGCTAGCCTGCTGACAGCTGCAATGGGCCAACTTGGCCCTGCCACCACCACCAAGCGACGCAGCAAGTCACGATCGCTGTGTTCAGAAGCGACAGCTACATCGCGGGCAGATGCCGCAGCCACCATGGCACCAGAAACTTGGTCGTCTTTAGCACAACACCAACATGACAACTAATGCTGCCACTACCACTGCCACCACTACTACCACTGCTACTACTGCTACTACTACTATTACTACCACTACCACTACCACTACCACTACTACTACGACGACGACTACTGCTGTTACCAGTACTACCCTACTTTACCCTACTTAATATTTCCTCCAAGTAAACTCCCGCAAATGACAATCCCAACCCTGAGCCGTACATGCTAGGCCCCAAATCCCCAAAACCTAAAGCCCAAGCCATCACTCCTTTGAGCGAAAGACCGCCGACTTGAACACCTCACTTTCCGTTACCTCTACACATACTGGGTCATGGAAGATACCGATTTAGGGTTTTGGGGTTTAGGGTTCGGGGTTTAAGGCTGTAGGGGTTTAGGGTTTCAGGGTTCAGGGTGTAAGGTTCAGGGTTTAGGGGTATGAACTCTGGGAAGTTGACGGTAGGATACTTTTGAACACTGTATGGGAAATTCAAAACAGAACAAAGGCCAAAAGAGACCCTGGGTAAGAGGATGCTGCAAGGAGAAGCAACTCCCATTAGTTAAGTAGGCCCATATATTACAACAGCCCTCCCCTCCCTTCACTCTTGAAACACCAGACTAGGAGGTGCTTTTGAAGCCTTTGAACAATATTAGTAGGTAAGATCCCCTTAAGCCCAAGAAGAGGAAATACAAAATGTCCCAAAGCCCTACCTACTACCTACGTAGCAAATCAAACCCGCGCCAAGGCTTCGGGACCCGACGAGGCCGCCCAGCGAGGCTGCTGAGAGACCAAGAAGGCCGCAGCCTCTGTTGAACTGCTTTTAGCGATCGCCTCGTTCATAGAAACCCTTAAGGGGCTAAGGGGAAGGGGATAGGGTACTATACTTCCTTAAGTAGGCCTTATTATAACCTTATCAATCCTTGTTAGGATTTTCTTGTTGTAGTTTTTACAAGTACTGTTACTGTCACTATTCGTCTTGCTACTTATCAGTACTAGAACATTTTGTTGATGTTCTACTATGATTTGCGTTTCAGAGCCCTTTAGGGCTTCGAGAGCTGCAGGTTTCAGGATTCCTCAACTATGCATCCGGTTGGTGCTTTCAGGGTTAGGGCTATAGTCTTGACAGCTTTGGTGGGACCCTAAACCCGAAACCCTCAACCCCAAATCCTGAACCGTATCCCAGAGGGTCCAAGTACTCCCTATTTTGGGACTTGAGGGCCGTTTGAATAAGGACTACTTGGACGCTTATAGGGTACTGTGAGTGAGATTGGGGACGAAGCTTTCGATCACAGGCGTGGGTCTCAGAGCTCTGGACGTCAGAACTGAGTCTGAACTCAGAAATCAGGACGTATTTATGTAGGGTTTAGGGTTTAGGGTTTGGGTTTGGGTTTAGGGTTTAGGGTTTAGGGTTCGGGTTCAGGATTATGATATAGGGTGTAGGATTTAGGGATAGGCTTAAAGGTTTAGGATTTAGGGCACAGGGTTGCAGGGTGCAGTATCGAAGTACAAGTTCAAGATTCAAAGCCCTGGAACGTGCTTGCCTGTAACATGTGGATGCTTCTCTAAACCAGGGTTCTCTATAGGGTCCTTTTTACAAGGGTGCTGTGCTATATATGGGAGTTTCCGAAAGTAGAAGACCTAATATAGTAACCTAAATCGTAGTAGGATCCTTATTAAAAGGAGCCCAACATAAGGTACCCCTAATCTCGGAAACTCCCATATGGGATGAAATTAAATGGGGACCCTGATTTAAAGAACTACCCATGAGGCTGCAGGCTTTCGTTTTGCTCATGCTATTGGCATCGCGTCATGATCCTCGTGCCTTAAAAGTCTTAAACCGAAGGCAGAACAGGGTTTACTAGGATGTCCAGTAACCGAGGAATAAAAAGGGCTCCCTTTTTGGTATGGGATAACTTTAGAACGAACCTAGGACTACAAAAAGGGAATAAGGGTAGTACTGGGCATCCTAATTTAAAGTATAGGGTAGAAACGTGCTTTCCCCGTTTTCAATACCTTGGCCATTCGCCACTCCAGGCATGTGGAAACTAGCCTGGCGTCATAAAATTTCTTGTTCTCCAGAAACCCTGTAATTCAGTAACACAACATGTCTCAAATCCTCACCGGACGCCTGCTAAGATCCTAAACCTAAACCCTAAACCCCAACTCCTACAGACAGTTTCTGAACTCGAGGTCGCTGGGTTTACCTTAGATCAGCGTCCTAGTGCCTCTTCAGGCACCAGCTCTTGTCTTCCTATCCTCACATGCCTTGGCTTTCAACAACCTCCCCAAAAAGCACAGAGCAAAGCCCCCTTAGGCTGTTAGGGTCCACGGGGTATGGATAGTGTGTAGGCAGTGTAGGCGAAACGTTCAAGGTGTGGTATCCCGACCCGGATCTACAGAACCCCAAACACCCTTCCAATGTTCTAGAGCTCCACCGCAAACCCTGAAACCATCCACAGGAAGCCTTGAGCCCTCGCGTTTCAAGAAATGCCGTATGGCTCCCACCTGCACCCAGCTCCAAGCATCGGCGTCCGAAGACTGCGTCCAAGTCAGCGGCTGCCTATCTCCGACCATATTATGTAAGGCTTTTGGGCCATTTTGAGCCTTGGGGTAGGTGTTGGGTCATTATCTTAAGCCTTACGGGAGGGGGTTTCGTCCGGCTTTTTTCCAAATCGACATGCGGGCATCCAACCCTCCGGGCCCTTGCACCTGAAAGCCTCTTCAGCCGTGGAGCTTAGACTCACGCAATCTACTTCTTTTGTATTGTAGCTTCCGAGCAAAATCTTAGGGATATAGTTCGTAACGTTTCCCATTAAAAATACGTTGTGGTAGTTGAATTGAAGGTAGGACAGTATAGACCCGTGATTCACACACTCTTTTCCCTTTCACGTCGTCAGGATGCTGGATTACATGTTCAACGGATACTGAGAGACGTGGACACCAAATGCTACCATATTCCAACCCTTCAAACACACACCTCAAGAGTTCGCAAGCCTGGAGGAGGAAGGTCATCCGTCATGATCTAGCGACCAAAAGACGTGAATCCCGTGTTCCATCGTGGTGCACTTGCCATAGACCCTGAATCGGGCTGGGTTCGATGCCTCTTCGGCACAACGGCCACTGCTGCGAAGCTCCTTCCGGGGCTAGTAGCACCCAGAGAGCCCAATACCCCTTAATTAAGGAATATGGCTTAAAGTATATTTGGCTTCCTATTATGATGTATGCTATATTGGTTAATTAAGGGGTATTGGGCTCTCTGGGCAGTTTCGAGGTATCTTCCACTTCCAAACGCTCCTACAACCTTCTCAAGCAACCAAGGAAGCAAAAGGACGAAGAGGGCAGAAGTGCATTCTCGTAGCTGATCAAGCTGTCATACTACGTCAAACACTAAACCCTAAACCCGTAGACCCTACAGTAAACTTCAAGGCCAGTCGAAGGGAACCTCGCTCCCAACGGAGCGAAGAGCTCCTACAAGAGCGAAGGATGCAGGATGTTGCTTTAGAGTGGCCGAAGAAAGCGTCGAGGATAAGAAACAGTAACCCTTACGGTCACCTTTATCGTAACACTTATATTCAGTTGCATATTTATAGCTACAAGTAGCTTTTGAAGTGCTGAACCCTCAACCGCGAGCTTTGACCTTGGAGGAAGTCGCCTGAGCCTCGGTGAGGCCTCCAATCTCAAGCTTCCCCATAGCAAGGTGGTCTAGAGTTCCGGAGTTTGATTCAGGGATTATAGTGTTGAGGGTTTAGGGCTTAGGTTTCAAGGCTTTGGAAGTTTTAAGGCGTTGCGTGTAGGTGTTTGAGCATTGGTAGAGCTTTCAGAGATGAGGGTTGGGCTCATAACGAGCTTTAGAGAGCGGGATTCCTCGGGCTTGGATCAGCCCTTACTTCCCGCACCCCAACCGCCCGAAAGCCTGAACCCCCAAAGGGAAAAGGAGGGACCCTTAATGGGGACCCCTACCCTATAATGGGATATATAATGGGTATATAATAGCTATATTAAGGGTATATACCTGGCGGTCCTTATTAAGGGTCCCTCCTTTTACCCTTGAGAGACCCCAACTGTTCCTCAACTCCTCGGCTATATTCCCCGAACCCCCTGAGCCCTCATCTCAGCTACCGAGCCCTGCCTCACACCATTCCAGATACCTCGCGAGCACCACGGCTGCGTCCCACACCTTGGTCGGTGATCTCGACCTATAACCGATGAACAGATCTGCTTTAACTCGTTGTAGCGTGCATACATATGCATGTACATACATAGATCTGCACACTCTCTCTGATTTGTAGACGCAATATTTTCGAAGTCATAGCCCCCGCCTCAGACCCTCAGCAACACTTACGGCTGCTGATCAAGGTGCTGCGATCATCGCTGCACTGACTTGCCAAGTTCCATTCCGGTTTCACTTTGGCTGTGAGTCTGAAGTCTGGCAGCACTTGCCCCCGATGAACTTCCAACCACCCATCTTGTGTTGGCCCCAGCTGCCTTCGCATTCTGAAGCTGTCGAGCCGGCTACACAGTTCATCCACTTCTGTGTGCAGCATTTCCCTCCGCCAATGTACTTGAAGGTGTGCCAGTCCTGTCCATAGGAGCCTTCGCATTCGGTTGATGAGGACCCTGCCTCACAAGTCAGCCACGCCTGTGAGTCGGTAACAAGGCAGCACTTGCCCCCGATGAAATTCCAACCACCCATCTTGTGTTGGCCCCAGCTGCCTTCGCATTCTGAAGCTGTCGACCCTGCTTCACAGGTCATCCACTTCTGTGTGCAGCATTTCCCTCCGCCAATGTACTTGAAGGTGTGCCAATCCTGTCCAATGGAGCCTTCGCATTCGTTTGATGAGGACCCTGTCTCGCAAGTCAGCCACGCCTGTGAGCCGGTAACAAGGCAGCACTTGCCCCCGATGAACTTCCAACCACCAATCTTGTGTTGGCCATAGCTGCCTTCGCATTGTGAAGCTGTCGACCCTCCTTCACAGGTCATCCACTTCTGCGTGCAACATTTGCCATCACCAGTGTACTTGAAGTCGAACCATTCCTGTCCGTCGGAGCCTTCGCATTCGGTTGATGAGGACCCTGTCTCGCAAGTCAGCCACGTCTGTACGTCGCTAGCACCATCATGTTGAGTTGACTTGTTGCTGGAACTCTCCGGACGAAGGCTCAGGTGCATCTCGTGGCGGTAGGCAGCGGCACAATGAAGCCCCAAGATCGCTGCAAGCACGCGCAGCATGATGATCACTCCTGGCATGAGTTTAGCAAACTAACTTGAACTTCTGAGAGATCTACTTGAGCCGGAAGCAGTGGACGAGCCTTACCCATGCATGCAGGATTCACCCGCAGAACCAGGTCCCTTGACATACTATAGGGGCCTTAATGATTAGAAACTATGTACTATGGACCCTTAGGGTCCCAGCTACAGAAGATTGCTCGGGCTATCTCCTGAACGGTCGCGGGCTAACGACGATCCAGATGTGATACAGCTCACCCCGAAGTAACCACTACAGTCCCCGTGCTGTATAATCAGTTGTACAATATCTCCGACCACAAGTATACCCCGTAGCCCCACTTACTCTGCCCGTCCATAACCCTTAACCCTAAACCCTATATCCTGAACGCTAACCCCAAATCCTAAACCCTCAACCCTCAACCCTGAACCCTAAACCCTCAACCCTGAACCCTTAAACCCCGAAGCCCTACTCTAATTGTTAAGGACGGGGCACGCAGCAGCCGGTCACTCCGAGCTCTCCTTGACCTGGAGCTGGTTGATTCCATGTTGGACCATACTTGGAGGGGCAGGGGACTTAGTAAGGGATCTGAAAGGGCTCCTTAAAGGGATCTATAGGGTTCCTTAGAGGGATCTATGGGGTTTAGGGTTTAGGGTCTACTTGAAGGGGCCGGGGACTTAGTAAGTCGTTCATAAGTTGGGTTATAATTGAAGTAACTCCATTTAGGGTACTTATAACTCTGCTTATAACCTACTTACTAAGTCCCCTGCCCTTCCAAGTACCCAAACGGCTCCTAGGTACTGCTATATCCCCCATGCTTCCCAAATCATAATAGTACCTTGTTCATGATATGGGAGTTTCCGAAAATAGGGGACCCTATTATAGTACCCCAAACAGTAGGATCCTCACTATAAGGACCCCCAAATAAGGTACCCCGAATATTCGGAAACACCCATATAGAAAACCTGCATTGTACTACAAATGGGGTAGAGGGATGAGGGTCCCACACGCGTTCACGAAGGTTTGGGGGTTCAGGATGCATATTCAGGCCTTCTGTCTTGATTTGCATTCGAATTTTGACGAGGGGGGTTAGGGGTAACAGTAATTGTAACATGGCCCTTAGTACTTACAAGTGAAAGGGAACTCGGGTATATCTAATATATACTGACTATACCGGCAGCCCATAACCATGTACTCTAACCTTCATGTCACACTTCAGAAGGTTCAAGACATTCAGGGGTATGGCTCAGGCTGTGAAGTTTGGGGTTTATGGCATGCCCCATCAAATCTACCCCTAGACTTGTGCCTCTAGAGTAGTAGCCCTAAGACCTAAAGCCTAAACCCCTACCCAACAAAAAGGATGCATTGCATGGTTTGTAGGGTTTAAGGCATCGGTTCGATCTTGCAGACGTTAGACGGTCTCTATGCGGGTGTTTTATAGCCTCTGTATAGGGTTCCCATGGTTTCTAAACCCTACTGCGCAGTTTAGGGCCTATAGGGTCTTGGACCATTGGAGTCCTGCGGCCCAGAACGATACACAATAGTAATGTAGGAACCTGATTGAGAAACCTTGGGCCTTTGTTATGGTGCCTGATATGAGCCCTACTGTTTTGGGCTCTATAGGCCCAGGGTTTCTTAATCAGGTTCCCCCAGTAGGTTTCGGACCTCTTGAGTATATAGGGTATAACCCTTAACGCAGTAGGTTCTTGGATCCCTAGGTAAAGCCCTAAACCTTGGGAACGGCCCCCACTCAGTAACAGTTGAATAATATTCATAATATAGATATATTAGGACCTTAATGGTAGCCCTATTATAGACTCTTACTGTATGGGGGCAGTACCTAACCTAACCTAAACCTATAAGGCAGGCTGTGGCCTTAATATAGCTATTATATACCCATTATATAGCCCATTATAGGGCGAGGGTCCCCATTAAGGGTCCCTCCTTGTCCCCTTTGATATAAGGCAGGCTGTGGGCTTCGAGTCCCTAAACCCTAAACCCTAAAACCCTAAAACCCTAAACCCTAAACCCTAAAACCCTAAACCCTAAACCCGAGTATGCCTTGAGCTCTTCTTTTGTAGGGTTTCTCTCTGAAGGGATTCGGCAGGGCTGCCCAGGGCTTGCGAGGGCCTTTAAAGGGTTCTAAACAGGTTTTAGGGGATGTGTAGGGAGTGCTTTACCCTAAGGCTCTTAGGACTCATATTTTGAGGCTTTTGGGATTAAAGACCATATTATATAAGGCTTTGGGCCATTTCGAGCTTCAGGTTTAGAACTTGCAAGGGTTTTGGGGGTTGGGGCCTTGGGGGGGTTTAGCTTTAAACACTTCAGGGTGTTCTGGTGTAAAGGATCATGCCTTGCACAAAGCTTCAGAGCATGATAGTGACAAGGACAAGTCACCAAATCCAGGAATTCGGACAGCCTCAAAGTACCGACATAGTACACCCAAACTTGGGCATGCCCTAACCCCAGAACCTGCAATGCTATACATAGACTGTAGATTCAATTCTCACTTCGGGGTTCTGTGGGCAACTACAATCCCAATCCTTACATCTCAAACCTGGAACCCTTCACCTAAAACCCTTTTGCTTGGGTCACAAACCCTCATGGAACCGTCTGGAACCCCTATCGTTTAAAGAGCCCTCTATAGAACCCTCGTCGTGGGCTGCCGGCGCGCACGATTCTGCGCCACGTGCAGTCGTCTCCCACCGACGTTGCACGCGAGAGAGTCGGAGGCGTGGTCATCAAATCTGGCGGCATTTGTAGGGGCCTCTCTTCGGGTTCTGTAGAGTTTCTACAAGGGCTCTATCAAGGGCTGTATGCGGATTCTATGCGGGCATGACTTTGAATAGGTGTTGAGGGTTTAGCATTTGCCACCCGTGGATCCAAAAGAAATACTGGCTTAATGAGTTTACACAAGCCTTCCGGGGGTGCATCCTACTGCCAGGCTTGGGGCGACAGATAGGACGAAGGGAAGGATGAAGGGTAGAGAAGCGGGAACAACTAGAGCACTTGTCAAGAGCTTTTGGGAATACAGACTCTGAGGTACATGGGTAGAGCTGAAGAACCATCTCCAAGCCTGCATCAGGCTCCAAGATAGAACCCCAAACCCAAACCCCTTAACTCCAAACCCCATGAACTGACGACTCCAAACCGTAGCATTGTAGCAACCCAGTCATGCGAAATTCAATCAGAATCGTCTGTTCACGCTCCTGTGAGGACGAACCTGGTTCCTTCCTACGGTTCTGGTGTTTCTTCTTGGAGCACTGATGGACACGACCCCATCCCTGAACAAGGACTATGATCGGTATCCTTACATGGAGGCCCATATGGAGGGGGAGTGGGGTATTCACCGGAGGTTCGCATTAACTGCAAAGAAGCTGGAGGGCATGTTGATGCGGCTACTGAGGCAACATAAGAGTACTTCAGGTTTTAATAGGGCTTAAGCTGGCGCTTAGGGATTCAGGGTTTGGGGGGTTGTAGTCGCGAGTCAGACGCGAGGGCTGGCACCAAAGTTTGCATGTCATGCAAAATGAAGGATTGGAGAGGTTTAGCAATGTAAATACCGCTTACGGAACCCCAAACCCTATAATGATCCTAAACCATCGGGTGGGGTGTATGCTTACGGAATCTTCAGGATATACTATAGGGTCTAGGGCTCTTGAGGCTTTCGGGCTCGGGAAAGAATCACTCAATGGCCCGAACTTCAAGAGTTCTTGGGCACTTGTGGCCTATAAGCCCTAAATCCTAAACCCTTACAGCTTAAACCCTGTAAGCCCTATAGTCTAAACCAAGTAGAACCCTAAACCCTGTAAGCCCTAAACCCTTCAACCCCTGAAGCCCTTAAACACCACCTGCAGTCTCCACTATATTTCCTTTTTTGGGGGGTTACCTCATAGGATCCTACATATAAAATTCGTTAAACCAAAACAAGCAACTACCGTGGAGACGATAAGTAATCTTGTACATCTTAAAAGAACCCTTAAAGGAACCCCGTAAAGGAGCCCTTAAAGGAGCCTTTAAGGGAACCCTTAGAGGAGCCCTTGTAGGAGCCTTTAAGGGAACCCTTAGAGGAGCCCTTATAGGTAAAGCTCGCCTATGGCGTGCGTCAGCACTGTCAGGCAGGCAAGCCCAGGTCCAGAGAGTCTCTGCAGCGGCATCCTGCTTTGGGCTTCAGGGTTTAAGGGTTTCGGGTCTAGGGCTGTAGGGGTTAGGGTGTAGGGGTTTAGGGTTTTCGGGGTTTAAGGTTTAGGGTGTTTAGGGATTTAGGGTTTAGGTGTTTAAGGGGCTTATAGGGTTGGCGAGTTTCGGTTTAGGGCTTAGTTTATTGGTTGTAAAGTGCAGAGTTTTTTTTTTTGTCGCTCCTTTTCTCCCGCTTAACGGGGTTCAGGGGTTAGAACCTTGGGGCTTAAGGTTTACCGTAATCCAGATTTCCTCCCTTTTTAAAGGACTTGCCTAAGGAAATCATAAGAAAGAACTCTAAAAGGGTAGGTCCAGGCAGGGTTTACTGTACGTTTGGGATTTCCGGTTGGATCAACCAACTTACCAACAGTACCATAATAACTCAAGTACCGTTGCTAAATAAAGCGGCTCAAGGTTGGTAGATGCTGAATGAGCTCACCTTTTTGCCTATTTTTGTTATGAGGGTGCATTAGGGCGTAGGGTTTATTGGGTATGATGGGACTGAGGGTTTACTTGTGTTTGGGGCTTAGGGCTCAGAGGCTTGCGGGGAGCGGGCGTGTAGCCGTCAGAGGTTGGGAGCTTGGAGTGAGGAGGTGGGGGCCGGGAAGAATGGAAGAAGACATCTTAACTTCGGATGAGGAGTTTGCTTGGGGACGTGCAAGGGTTTAGCGCCTGCTATAGCCAATGGCCCATGCAGCTTCAATCTCACACCGTTAGTCATCTCCTCGAATCTGTATAAGTCCTACTACAGACCTCAACCATCGAATCGATTCAAAACCCTGAAACCCTATCTACACAGAGATCCCACTGCGGCTGGACAAAACCT